GATTTTGAGTGAACGAATGTCCTAACTTTGTCATCAGCCACCGACGTACTATCCGGGATCTGCGTACGGAGATTGTTGGGTGCACCAGGTAACACTTCGGCATGTCCATTTCGAAGTTACTTTGAATTCTTTTCCACTTACTGAGTGTTCCTTTAATGCCATACTCCTCTACTCGGTCTTCGGTTTTAAAGGCGGTTGCTCTTCTGAAAGAAAAGCTTGCAGTTCGTGTTTCATTCACTTCAGACTAGTCATTTCATTTCTCTTTACATGACCGTGACTCGCACTTCATCCTTGCACACGTCCGATGAGACCAAACGGAGTCCCCCAAATAATTTTGAACTTCTTAGGTGTCGAATGATCATCTTAAAATATGCATGGACGTCGCCGTAAGCGTAGTCAGACTAAATGAGTGTAGTGTTTATCTAGGACGCTCTAACCCAGGACCTAAGCTACTTCCTATCTACGTAATCCGCGGTAGTCGTCATGCGTCGTTAATAACTACGCATCTCTAACTACCTTACTAAATTAAGTAGAAAGGCAGACGGTGTTTGAGCATTTTTCGGGTTCCTAATAGGCCGCCCTTGCGATAGCCCTCCCAGTCGCCACCTCCAGCGCTGCGATCAATTTACTAACTAAAAATGCAAACAAGGTTTTATCTCCTGGCTTCCCTGACCTGTGAATGTTGGCCCACTTTTTCGTCCAGACCTCAAGAATTTACGTTTATTTTCATTTTCCAATAAAGCATGCACCTAGAGAAGATCACGTTGAATAGTGCCCAGGTAGACTTCGTCATGGTACATACAGGTGTTTTCTACTGTCCTCATGCCTCATTGCTCTTGGGCAAACTTGTTGCGCTATTCGGAATGTGAAAAAGGTACCGTAAACTGGCGATCAGATGTTGTTTGTCCAGCGTTTGCAAGTAATTCCAGGCACTTTCAACCGCCCATTGAGAGGACTGATGGCTGACAGAACCATATTCGCTGAAAAGCAGAAGTGCATAAAAGGATGAAGTGGGCGTCTGCCTATACGGTCAAATGGGCGAGGTGTATTTGCTTGGTATGCATGCTTAAAAAAACTCACTACGAACTCTCCATATTCACTTTGAGCTCAAATTATTTACATTCGCATGCAGTGATCTGACAACGAACAGCCATTCAGTTTTAATGCAGTCTTAAAGAACTCCCGTTCAGTTATGCGGATATTGAAACGAGGACTTGGATCTGTACATCAAGTTACGAACACTATGACACTATTTTTATAGATGGTCTGGTTTTTGCCTCACCTACCTTATCCTAGACCTAGATTCGACTGTCGCTGTAAGCTTTGGAGACTGCATCGCTTGTCTCAACCGGTGTGTGCGCCTAACTCTTATCAACCACACGTTTTTTAGCAGACTCTACGTAACGTTGAGTAGTGAAATGCCCTCCACTTAAGCCACCACCTGGATCGCCTACTGTCACATCGAGCTGAGGCCTAATTCGTAGCTCCATACGCCTGTATTCGGGCCTCCAATGCCGTTTTCATACGTGCTAGCATTTGCGTCTAAATTTATCCCTCTCTTGCCTCTCCTCCTCCGGCTCCTCTTCTTCTTCTCCTTCTTCTTCTTTTTCTTCTTCGTCTTCTCCTCTTTCATCATCTTCTTCTTCTCCTCATCCTTCTTATCCTAATCCTCGTCTTCTCCCGCCCTACGTCTCATACTGCTTAGTTTTAGCATTATCACTGTATGCGTTGGAGACTGAATCGCTTGTCTCAACCGGTGTGTGCGCCTAACCCTTACCGACCACATGTGGCGTAGAGTAGTGAAATGCCCTCCCCTCTAACCACTATCTGAATCGCCTACTGTCACATCGAGTTTAGGCTTAATTCGCACCCGTATTCTCTCCTCCATTGCCGTTTTAATTTGCGAGGCTGCAGTAAAGATCGAGCTGATGGGTGCGTCATCCTCCGGGCACTGGATCGATGCTCTCTTTACTTACAGTACGCGAGCATGTTTTCAGTGTGCACACAGTAAACCCCCCCCGCCCTCCACTCACCCCACTTCCTCCCAGATCAACTGTCATGATTGTTAAGTGGAGCACCTGGACTGACATGAGTCTGCTTGAGAACCCACGCAGAAATACTCGGCAGGCAAAGGGAGTTGCCAGCGATTTGTGAATGATGGGTGTAGCGAATCAGATTACGCTCTGTGTTCTAGTTGTGGTTCTTAATTTGATTTAGTAGACTGTTGACGGAGCTCCGTTTGTGAGAAATAGTAACATTTTATCCGTATGCCTGTAAAACCTCTGCATGTGTCCTTTACGATTAGTCGAGATATTAAACGATCTATCAGTATTTCAGTGTAATAGGGCATCTTGGGATGGCGGTCATCAATAGATCTCCGTTTTCCTAATAGATTTCACTGTTTGATGAGTTAAATTATAATTGCTTTAGAAAGATTCCACATGGTTCAATTTGATGGTAACCAGTGCGTTATAACTCTCGATAGAAGTTCGGACATGGTCGACTGCGTGTTTCTACGGAAATGAGTCATGTTTATGGCATGAAATCCCCTTTGTGGAATATAAGTTTAAGGGGAATTTTTGCCAGCCATCACTACATTTGCCCTTTTACTTATTTTACATAGGCCTAAATGTAAAACTTAAACAGCTATGTTAATCTAGTTTATCTCAAATTCAAAACGTACTGCTTAAATCTCATTCCTACTTCATATTTTTATTCATGTCACGAAGGAAGACAGGAATCCTGTGGGTTGTTGCGGAGACCATGAATTTGGTAATCTCGGAGAATGTTGATATCCATTTACTCGTGAGGGAACAGTGCTTGCACAGACAGGCGTCCCTTGCGCGGGTGCAGTCGTCAGGATTGCTGCGGCGAAAAGTATTTTTCCGTTCTGTTCGGATTTTCAACCATTCCCATGACTGCAGTTCATACTCATTTAGCCTTCTTCCACCTGGTGTTCTCACGTGACTTAACGTCATGTTCGCACCTTCAGCGTCCAATTGCATCACTTGGGATCAATTTATTTCCTTTCGTCCAGCCATCCATCCACTTGCTTCCTTTTTAACGCCTCGTCGCACAGTATTCGTGAGTCTCTCTGACTAGCTGCGGATAGAGAAACTCCCCTAGCGCGTAACGAGAATATTGGTAGTCCGTATCCCTGGTTTGAGCATTTTTGAGTTACAGTCCCCGCTTCTGCAAATGATTGAATTTTTGATATTTATGTATATTACGTCTTTTGCAAGTTTTCGGTAAAGTGAGCATTTTATTCGTCTCTCATAACACAAATACTTTATTCCATCCAGCATGTCCCTCTGAAGAATCCTTCCAGTTTGTATGTTTGCCTCCCCGGCCTGTAAAAATAGGGCTTGTGTTAATTTGTCTCAGTTCCGGACGTTTATTTACCGTAGTTTTCTAGCTTTGTTTCTTCTCGAGGAGCTGGTATTCACAATGCTTGCATCCTCCCTGCCAATCTTCAGCCTGGAGACTTCGTTTTGACTGTTGTCCTCCTCCACTTCCGTTGAAGTTCTTGATTCACCTTCGGCACAGCTTACTCCACATCTACTGTCCTTGCGTGCGTTTCCTACTCCAGTCCTGTGGTCCATGGTTCATCTGGGATGTCAGCTGCTGTCATGTGGACCACACGCACGGGAAGAATCATTGTCGCTGATGGATGTGGCAATCAAGCGCACGTGGATGTTGCAGAGACTCTTTTACCTCCTGATTCCGCATACCCGCCCCTCCAGTTAACAGAGCTCGCTGCGATGAAGCGGCCTCGTGCAATGAAGCCACTATCCCAGACGAGATCATCGTTTTTGATAATGTGTGCTCCTTTTTGTGGAACGTCGAATACTTATGTCCAGGACTGTCAGAACGCATTGGTGCCCTGGTAGATCTGTCTACAAGAAAGCAGGTAAAATAGCTGCGCCTGGTTTAGTCGTGGCAAGCTGCTCGAGGTGTTCATATGTAAATGGTTTGGAGGCAGAAGTAATTCTTTTATCGTGTACATCGTCTAGTCCTCAGTCTTGGTCTCCTTCCTTTGTATTTGCAAATGTATTTCATGAGACTTCTACAAAATTAAATGGTGGCAAACTCCGAGAGGCCTGCTGCACCTACTGAAATGAAGGACTCAAGGCCAATTTCTGCCACCGATATAGTTACTACTAGTTACTATCTGCATCCTCATTGCTACATTACTCCCCGTCGGAGGGCCTAATCTCTACCCTTACTCATGTTACCCATCCTAACTTCAGAATGTTCACGTCTTCTAAACGCTCTCACTTCTTCCGCTATAGGTACATTCTCCCCAGCATTAGCTAACATGATAATACTAACACATGAAAATAATGTCTTACGTGAGAAATGAGATTTGGTCCAGATCACCCACAAACTGAACTCTTCAATCCTTAGGCGTCATGATGACAGGCCGGTGCAGGGACCAACGTTGACCTCGACCTCCCGCCATCTCTCCAGGAAACCATGTGCGTGAATTAGTTTATGGGGACAGTAGCCTTGCGCAGTATCCACTGCACTCTACCCACCCTCATCCACCTCTGCTCTGCACTAAGACCTAGGCAAGGAGACCGGAGGCGAGATCAGGTGCACGTAGTTGACCCGCGTCTAGGGGTACCGCCACGCATCCTGGCCCACACACACACACATACATGACAGTTCGACCGTCGATTTCGACGATGTCCACCGTATACCCCA